AGCAAGTTCCATGACATTCATGAATCTTACCCTTTTAAGCCATACCTCATTATTTAACTTTCTCATCAGGAGAACAAGATGAAGGTAGTTTTATGAGAAACATGCAATAGTTATTTTGGCTAGGGCTGAAATCTAAACARGTTCTAACAATGCCAGTGAAGGGCTTGGCTTTATTCTGATAGGAATTCTAAATGTTAAAAAATTACGCATACACATTATACTATAGAAGTCACAAACACAGAAGCAGCAAATTATTATTATAAAAAAAAAAATTTGGAAAAAACTAGCAAAGTTAATTGAAAGTGAAGATTTAAAATGGTAGTGATTTTCAAGATCTACATAGATCCTCAATTCAAGGGATTACAAAGCACTTCATATACAAACATAGCAGCTATGTGTGGGGAGTAAGAAGTTCTGCCATGGGTGATGGCAGTTGTCCCCARGAAATATTTTGGTCAGCAGTTTTCAGTATGGATTTGTAAAAATTCATTATTCAAATCTTAATTTGATACAAATATTCTTGAAGAGATAATACACCCCTATTTAAATACTAGTAACTCCAGCACATAAATACATGGAACACGGACTTAGTAATTTTAATATTAGATTCCTGTCACTGCAGTCAGCAACAGCCAGATTATAAAASCATGTTAATAAAAGCGGAAAAGAATTAGTTTTAATGYTTCTGTTAATAATGAAAATATAATGTAATAAAATGAAAATATAATGATGAGATTCCTGCATACTCCATAGAGATTCTAAACACATTCTAACGTTTATTTATTCAGTAAATTTATCCAATTATTTTTTTAAATAGTAGGACTAAGATAGTCCTCTAGGCTTGTGTGCAATGAATAAGAAGATATAGGGATCTTAATTTCATCTAATTTTAAAATCCATTTGATAAACAGAATTGATGCCCCTCTCTCCATTAGCTAAAAAGTTTAAGATAGATGACTAATACCAGATAGCATCAATCTCACTCCAGATGAATTCTAAAATTTACTACAATTATGAACACTAAAAAAAAAAAAAAGGGATAAAAGAGATTCAAATTAAAAAGATTGTGGAGAGACTAAAATAAGTCCCTAAGTTGTATAGTCAGCTTGCAGCTGACTGGAAAGAAAAGAAATAAATCTGCAAACACAAACATGCAGACAACTTTTTGCATATTTCTCTTAACCTATGAAGTATAGACAAACATTATCAAGAAACGTCAACGACCTTTATTCTATTTTGGTTTTTATTTGAGAAAGGCACTTTGAAACAGAAACACTAGAATTACTCCTMAAGGTATTTTTACCTGTAGCAGATCATCCACTATAAATTAAACAATTAAAAAAACCTGAGCTATGTACATCAATCCAGAAATGCTTAAATAACAGTAACATTGTTTTGAAATCTTCACAGAACAAACTTAAGGTTCTAAGCAAATTCTGTAGCCATCACCGTGACTTAACAAAACTGCAGAAATATGGTTTAGAACGCATCATCTGTGCATCTGCCTATATTCAAATAAGAATAAAAAGTACATAAAAATACCYTATTACCTAATGGACAGAGGCACGAATTTAAACCTCTCACTARCTTGAACAAAAACAAGGTTTGCATGGACAGTGTCAAAGTTGAAGGAATAGCATTGCCTCAAATACTCATTTTCTGTTTACTGCATATTTATTTTGTTTCTCTTCATTATTCTACATTTGTCACTTTATCATTATAAAGTCAGGRAAAGAAAAATCACCTCAAGTACATCATGTGAGCAGCAATCATCTGTAAAAGARCACAACTATTTTGTCACTAAGAAAAGAAATGTTTTGTAAAATCAAACTAACTTATGAATTCCCCTACTGTTACCAATAATTCTAGACATTTTAAACTAGTTTCCACTGAAACAGCTGAGTCCCGGAGAAAGACATTATACTCCTTTTTGAGGAAATTTGAAGAAAATCAACAATCAAAGCCAAGAGATGGTTCTTGTAGGTGAAGTGCTCTAGTATGAGCTCACTCCATATTAGACTTCTGAGTCCACGTTAAGAAAAGGAACTATTTCAGTTTGATGTTGCACCTTACACGAAACTAGCAAATTTAACCATCGGGAAAAAMCCTGATAGCAAACCACAATGAACTTCTACTTTTTTGAAGGGTTTTTTTTTTTTTTGTTAGTGTTGTTTTGGTGGGTTGGATGTTTTTTCTCTTGGAAAGGAGAAGTAAAAGATTAACAATCAATAGTTTGAACAGAACACTTCAGCAATATTTAAAAGAAGGAAAAGCKGGAACATATTTAGCATCTACGCTTAATTATGTAGATGATGGAGCTGTTACAGAATTGCTTTCCTCATTCTACCTGTAGACAATTTCAATTGAGGTAATACGGCATTGAAATTAGAAAAAAATCTTAAGTCACATTACCAACAACAAAGTGAAAATGCATCTCTTTGGTCATATTTTTAGAGTATGTGTGACATTGAAAAATTTATTCCAAAAAAATCAAATAATTTAGAGTTTTTGTCAGTGTCATAGGTAAATGAAACATGGATTCTCAGACATAAATTAGAGCTGTATAATGGCAAAGAGAGCAACAAAACTCACATCCTGACATCACAGTAATCTACTTCAAGGTTGAAACAGCAGATCCTTTCTCAATAGAACTCTTTCATGAATATTATTACTTTGGTATTTTCTTGGAATCTGTAAATAGCTGTTCACAGAAAACTATCACAAACATGAGTAGAAAAAATGAAAATAACTGCACTTGACTAGAAAATTGGGTATTAGTTACACTTCTGATCACAAGGTTTGCCAGGGGCTTTWTTTAACCACCATTCAGGCCAGTCAACATTCCACATACTTCTGAAGCTTTTAAACGTTTTTGTTTACACAGATTATGATACCAGTGGTAACTACGATGAGTCACCTTGTTTTCACTAAAGTAGAACAAGYTGTTATAATCACTTAAACATAGAACTGGACAACACAGGTATTCCTTTTTCATCTTAGGGGTTTCTAGCGATTCTAGAAAATTTCTTTGTTCCACAGACCTGTCATATGTGAGTCCACTCAGAATTTGGGGTCTCTTAAGCTAAGATATTTATACCATCTCAACATGCCAGTTAGTTACTTTGCAGTTCACTTAGGCAGATGATTTGGAATGTGGAGAAAGTCACGGTCTTGACATCTGTAATGTGGTTGGAAGTGAAGCAGATTTAAAGAGAGAGACCTACATTTTAAAGAAGGTTAGTATGTGTTTTCCATGCTCCCAAGCAGAAAATCTTCTGAGGAACAATCTACTTCTTAYAACTCCAAAACCCAGCATTAATCAACTTATTAATTTATTTAATATGAAGTAAGGAGAGTTTTACTGAATTAAAAATGGGCTTATCAGTAGAAAAAGCTTAAGAGCACAGWAGCATAAGTGGATTAAACAAGATTCCTGCATTTCTAATTGCAGGGGAACCTCCCTACTCAAAGTAAAGCAACAATATGAAAAAATGACATTATATGAGTGGGAATACAGCTGAGCAGAAAAGTATTTTCTCCATGGTTCTTAAGTTTAAAAATAAATATAGGGGAATTGCAAAGTTAGTATTTTTATTAAGTAAAAGTGCAAACTCAAATTATGATATGCAAAACTGATTTCCAAGAGGAGTTTCCAGTTATATATGAAATCSCCACATGTCTTACTAAATCTTACCACAGTGAAAGGTAGAAGTCTCATTTGAAAGAAATCCATGTTGACTCACATAAGAATTTTTTTTTTTTTGAACCAAGTTTCCTGGTCCTCCCCACTTAAATKGCTTTGATTTCCACATTACGGATTAATCTCGGAATTTGCAAACTGAATTCCTTTTTGAGAATCCAACAACCCCTACAATGCGYTCCAGCCACTACAGGGCATTCAGCACCCTTGGCCCCATTGAGTCTGAACTAGAATTAATCTGAAGTCAAGCCCCTGAAACTCAGAGTGGATATCAAGTCCTCTGACACATCTCATTTGCTCTAGAACTACCCCCGTTGTTTCACATCACCAGTTAGAAGGCACATTTTTTCAGTCCTTATGCAATGCTATTTCTTCAGTAGTATTGCCACTGCAATTTAGGAGTTACACAAAAAAATTAAAAGCTTTAATACTTTTTTTGGATGCTTAAGTTAACAGCATTTTAACCGATTACTACTTAAATTACTAATTAAAAGTTATTTAGAGCAAAGAAGGTTCATCTAGTATTTCCTTGGAGGAGGTTACTACATAGCAAAGTCAGTTAAAGAACTGATCTCTTCATTTTAAAAAAAAAGTCGTATTAAACAACAAATTAAAGCCAATATTAAAGACACATTACAAATTTATCCTGAACAACTTTGATTACTATCCATAGTTTTACATTACTTCACAGTTTACCACGGCCAACAGTCTAAATTTACAAAAGGCAAGGAAAAGGCATTATGGAACATGAAAGTAAGACAGCTTATAAATAGGCAAAAAAGTCAAGCAGTTTCTTTCTTCATATGAATAGAACTGTACATTTGCATAGAAAATATATTTTACACATAAAGTATGACAGACTGAGACAGTAGTAAAAGAAGCACGTAGCAAACGTAACTGTTCATGACTACTGCTCTCTATCCAAACTTTATAAAAACTATAAATTGAAGTAATCTTACAAGATGACTTTCTACTTTCAGCCAAAGAAAAAAACCACAAATAGGTTCAGAGTTTGACCACTGCTACTGTACAGTATAAAAGCCACATTCTTGCTATGAAATGAAGAATTATGTTTGTGTCTACAGGATTGTAGGAGAAATACCAAACTTTCATCTTGTTACTATATTGATAATGGGAAAAAAATACTACAAGAATCAAGTCTGTAACTTCATTTAAACAAAGAATTTATAATTCAATTTGCTCTTCATAAGCAGAAAGCGAGTCATCCCTCTTACCTAGATAAACCTCCTAGGTAATAGTCATATATTTAGATTTTCATATGCATTTTAAAGACACTTACTGTTCTAAGAGTTGATCATATTTTCGTAAAGAATCCTTTTCAGCAATAACTGCTCTTTCTTTTTCAGCAACAGCATTATCTCTTGCTTCTCTCAAGTTTCTGAAGGAAACAAAAATTATCCTGTTAAGAACCTGTTAGAAAAAAGACTACTTTGCTTAATTAATTACTGCTCTCTGATCAATTATTTATCGCAGAGGCTTTACTTCAGGTTACTATACCAGCAAAGCTTCCAATTCTGAAATTCTAAAAAACAACTATCAAATCATCTATTTATATGTGGAAACATATAACTCTAATTATTCTAGAATAATAGAACTAAAAATTACTTATTTTTGCGGGAATTAAATAMATTCCGATGATTTTGCTTAGTACTTTGCTAATAACTGCAAGAATGCTGTCCACCTAGTTGAGATGATCCACAACTTTTACGATAGAGCAATAAAAATTTAGGCAAGCATAGAAATCCTACTTCCACATACAACTAATTATCTAGTTGTACTGATTTGGATTTCATTGGTGTCTCCTGGGTTCTATTACCGGCAGCATTTTTGATCTGTAAAGAACCATAAAATAACGTTTTATTACAATCAATTGATACTTTTTTAACCAAGGATCAATCACAATGTTTAAACTACCTCAATTACTATTTCACTGACACAAATGAGAACAGCATGATTTTAAAAATAAAACATATAATATTTGTGTTAAAAAATTTGGAATTAGTTATTAAGTCTATTATRCTGCAAGCAGGCTACAGATTAACACTGCAGAAGACTGTACAGAGGGGAAGCACTGTTTAGATACTGTATATAAGCTCTATGTACAATATTTAGTGTAACACAGCACMAGCCAATTTGCCAGAGTTAACAGTGGTTGTTGAGGACCAGACATCTGTATAATTAGTTTTTAAGGATTTTACTTTACTCCTGGTTTGCTTCTGTGATGAACAATCACTAGCATTTGGAAYATATTAGATGATTTTAAAATTAGTTTTATCTAAAAGGAATCCTGTTCATGTGCTACAAATGTGAGTGAATCCAAGCACAGCTGCAAGGCAAGCTAAAACCATGGCCAGCAGCTACGACCAGGGGGTTTCACTTCAACACCCCATTTTTCATCTGAACTAAACTGCTAATGTGGATGCAACCAAGATATTCCCACTGAAGTATTTTTTTCACCTCTCCCCACAGCAACTTTCTGACTTAAGGCAAACTGAAATTAAAATCTCAGGCGAGTTWTGAGAAAAAAAAAGCCAAGATATAAAGGAAAATAGAAAGTTATTAAGCCCATGTAAATGTAAACCTAGAGCTAATTTTAGTGACTAATTTTAGTCAMACTAAAGGTACATAATTTTTGTTTTAAGGACTACTTTATAGACTAAAWGTTATCAGTGGCACTTTTTTGAATTCAAAAGTAATCATATGAACAGGAAACAGCTACTTAAAAAAAMCCCCAGCATCAGAATTATGTAGCAGTTAACTGGCTATTAGAGAAAGATAAMCAAATTTTCTTTAAAAATTGAGTTTAGGTTCTTTAAAACTGACTCATACCAAACTATGGAAACATGGCAATAAATTTTGTCAATAACATTAAGATCAAGCATATTATGTCWGAGTAGGATTCCATTGCTATATCCTTAAGACCAGAGTAGTAGAAGTGGGATAAAAATTAAATGGTAGGAGAGATACAGAGATTCAGTTAGAGAATAAACTATTTTGCTTAGCTGAACAACTAGTCAATTGAAAATGCAATGGGAGGAAAATGGACACAAGTGAGGTAGTATTCAACCAACAAGATGAGATGTGATGCAATTTCTGTTGAAATACTCTTTCTACAGAGCCAGGAAACATAGGAGTGACGCTGCCAGTTTCAGTTGTGTAACTGCCATTTCAGAGGAGGTGAAGCATCCATCCAGTGGCTGCACTGAGGGGCTGTATGGACAATCAGGTATCTAGCCAGCCTATCACACAAGTGAAAGCACCCTTCTGAAATGGGACAGAAATACTGTCTACAAGATTAAGAACCAAGTCAGAAGAGGTGCTCAAGGGAAAGATCTCAAATGCTTAAAACTACAAAATTGTGTTTGATCTATAGGAATGGACTACAGCTAATCCAAAGTCAAACCTCTTGCATACCTTCACACGTCCTGTGAATTCACTCACACTTTCTAAAGCAAAGATAGCCCATCCTTACAACAACCGTACAAGTTGAGCTAATGCAAAAAAAAAAAAAA